AAATTCACAAATTAAAAATCTGATTTGGATTAGATCGAGTTGATCCAATTGATTGGATTAGATTGGATTTTACTATTAAATTTCCAATCTAGGGTAAAACCACGATTAACAACACTATGCTTGCACTCTATCACCATGATCACTACTATTATAATAATTACCTAACTATATGTTAACACCACGTTAAGTTATCAATTAAAAAAATGAATTTGTATTATGGTAATCTTTCGATACCTTGCGAGCTTGATCTAGCGACAAACTTGAATCAGTCTAAAAAAGTATTTATTTTTTTTTGTATAAGATTAACTCAGAAAAATTTGTTAAAAATATTCTGATTGGATTATTGAATTCGTATCACTTAACGTTAATGAACTTCTTGGTATAAATACTGATTTTTCATCAAAATTCTAAAATTTTGATACCTTTTTTTTATATAATAATATATATAATGAAATATAAATAAAATATGTAGTATAATCCTTTCCTACCTTATTACTAGGATAAGAATTCCTTAATGTGAAAGTATATCCCGCTTGGATATCAGTCAAACAGTTTTAAAAAAAAAATACGATTTTACTGCAGACTTTCCAATTATCTAACAGTTAATAAAATAAACATTATTATTACTACATTATCTCGCCAAATATGTTTCTAAGATTTACATAGTTGGCATTATATTCAATTTCACTTTTTTTTTAATCTTATCGTTATCTTTTGTTGCAGTTTAACAATAAAGAATGGAAGGAACTTCTAATAAAAAAGAGACCTTTATTAAACCAGACAAAAATAATAAAAAAAAGGTTCAGTAGAGTGAAGATTCTATTAAAATGTTACTTTCATTTTTAATAGAATGGAAAGTTAAAGTAAATCAACTAAGTACAAAGCGAGGTGATAGTGGTAATACAAAAGCGAAACTTTTGCAAGACGCATCTGCTATATTTCTTAATAATAATTACCAATACTCCGCTGAACAATGCTCAGTTAAATGAAAAAATATTAAAAAAAATTATAAGGTAGTAACTTTACTTTTTATTTAATACTTTAATACTTTATTAAAATATTAACTATTAGTAGGATGATATGGTAATAATCCAATTGAAGTTTGATATAAAGAGGAAGTAGAGAATATTCTTGATGGGAACCGTCTTAGTTTAACTCCAAAATCTTTGGATAGTAATTTGGAATTTGATAATGCTAATATTGAAGAAAATCACATTCCATTTAATAAAATTACTGGTCAAAATAAACGAAAAAATGAGTCTGAACTAACCTAAAAAAGCCAAAAAATTTGAATTATCGGCCACTTTTAAGGAGCTGATTAAAGAAGACAAAGATAATCAACGATCTTGGACAGCTGTCCTTGAATCAAAATTCGAAAACCACAATGAATTAATTGAAATTATCTCTGAAAAGGAGTTCAAATGTCCTGTTTGCTTTGGATTGGTTGATCAGCCTGTCACTACAGCTTGTTCTCATAATGTTTGCCAAGAATGTCTTTCTCGAAGTATTGAAATTATGGGTAGAAAATGTCCTCAATGTAGAACTGAGTTTCCGGCTGACTTTAAACTCAAATCGAACAAAAAATTGATCAAGGCATTACATGAAGTTCTTCCAACTTATGACTTGGGCGATTCGAAACCTAGTATTTCGAAGAAGAATAAAGGCAAAGGCAAATCGCATTAATCCAATCGAGGGTTCGTGTTGATGCTTGCCTTTGATAGCACCGATGTTATATATTTTGTTTGGTTTAGAAAAAATTATGTATATAAATTTATAAAATGTGATAATATTAATTAATATATAACTGATAAATAAATAAAAATATCGTTTCTTTTTTCTTTAAAAAGAATGAATAATGTGAAATGTAACGGGTAAAAACGAAACACCTACATTTCTTAAATTCTAATAATAATATCTTATAGAAGCGGTGATTTATATATAATTAATTGCTACAAATTATAGTTTTAAAACTCATACATAGGGGGTGGCCCATTTCTGCGACGTTAAACACAAATTATGCTTGCTTTATATAGTTAAATATGCAAGTAGTATTCGGAAAATTTTTTATAAAATATGCTTCGTTTTTTTTTGTTTTTTCAAAAAATGCTAAAAAAAGTGATAATTTCATCAAATTATTTTATTTAAATATATTGATTATACTGCTATTACAAATTTTGATTATTAAAATACAAAAAATTCAAAGCAGCAATTGAATTTTCTGAAAGAGCATGCCGTCTATCACTAAGAATATTGGCCAAATATATTC